AACCCAGGGATCGAACCCGAGTGTCTCTTATGTCTCCTGCATTGACAGGCAGGTTCTTTACCACTAGCACCACCTGGGAAGCCCCTATATACCAACACTACTGCCAAATGAGTAGCAGTATCCAAAAGACCAAAAGAGTGCCCCACCCCACCAAGCCACAAGGCCTGGGGGAGAATGCATGGCTGAGTAAGGCCATATCCTTGCCCATAAAGTTATGAGCTAGTGGGCAAACACCAATAAATAGCTCCACTCACAGTGAGCCCACTGCAGTTCCTATCTGTGATCTCTGTTGACTACAGTAGAGAGGTCAGAAGCAAAGAGACTGAATGTGACCAATGGTCTACCAGTGGAGCTGTCAGGTCCTCCATGGAAGAACACAGCTAACCCTGCTGCTGCTGCTGCTAAGTCGCTTCAGTCGTGTCCAACTCTGTGCAACCCCAGAGACGGCAGCCCACCAGGCTCCCCCGTCCCTGGGATTCTCCAGGCAAGAACCCTACACTGCTAAAAATCTGTGGTTCCTACGCCAGATCCTTTTTGTACACTGATACTAAATATGGTTAATGAGTCTGAATGGAGCTTAATAAAATCACCAAGTGGGTTATTTCTATTCTATATGACTATTATTTTCATATTTTATTTTCATATATTATTATTATTGGCAAAATCATGAAATGTATCACAGTCTTTCTCAGTCTTCAAGCCTATGTAACTTCCACAAGTTCAGCATTCACCTGAAACCCACAGCATAAGGCTCAACGACTTGCTATCACAATGCCAAGTCTAGAATGGCCAAATGTCTCTCTTTGCCTGGGACTGAGGGGTTTCCAGGATGTGGGACCTTTGATGCTGAAGTTAGCATGGTCTCCAATGAAACCAAACTGCTTGTCAACCTATCCAGGCCATCTCCTGATTTAGCAGCAGACTCCTTCCGTGTGCACTGATCCATACCTCCCACTCGATAGGTTTATGAAAGAGGACCAGGGAACCCACTCGGGTACACTAAGAAATAAACCAACTGATCAAATAAGGGGGAAATGGAAGAGGAGAGTAATATCGGTGCCAGGGGACACGTCAGAGGGAACATTTACTGCCAGCGCCTCCCACACACAGAAGAGAGAGCCCTGTCATGGGACCTGATTGATGTGGTGACATTCCCTGAGCTTCAATATACAGCAGCAATACATTTTTACAAAGCTGCAACCTTCTCCTCTAAAGGAAAATATAATAATAAATTGCTGAAAAAGTTAAGCATATATATCATTCTAGAGCTCTGTTTTGTGTCCAGAGAACACTGCAAAAGCAAATTAAATAACTGTCAAAAATGAATATATATATGTATATATGAGTATATATACATATATATATTCTTCATTCCTTCAGCAAAATGTCTACTGGGGACCTCCTACACACCAGGCTCTGCATGTGGCTCTGGGGACACACGGAGATGCAAAGGACTCTGTTCTTTTCTGTTAGGCATCTTATTTAAATCCTCCACTGTGTTCATAATATCTACTTCCTAGTTTGGGGCTATTCTAGCCTACGTAGACTTGTTCTCTAGGGCTTGGGCCTTGCACAGAAAACATTCAGTAATTCAATTGCCTCATTTACCGCTGTTCCCTTAGAAGAAACCACAGCAGATGAATTTTTAATATGTTCAGTTTATATTTTCTTCCTTGGGAGCCTATTTCTGTCCACCAAAATAGCGTAGCATCAGGTAGCATAGACACATCAAAGACAAATGAAGGTGGAAACCCCAACAGGAGGAAAATTATTGTTTTAGCCATTACCTACCACTTCTTGTCTTGAATCAAGTCTGAAACTATTTCCCCCACTCCTAATTCATCGTCATTACCTCGGTTCTAAAGTCTTTATGGCCTGTCCTGTGCCTGGAGTAGCAACCATCCTCTCAAAATTCAGACCAGAAAACACAAGAGGAGACCCAACCCTGCTGATCAGAATAACACATTCCTATCTGTTATCTGACATCACCCTCTTTTCTGCTAAATTCAGACACCACTCCATTGTTTTAGCTGATGATGCCTGACAGGGGAGATGACTGATTCAAGTGACAGACAGGGTTTCAATAGAGAGAGAAGCCTGTTTAAGCTCCGGCCTGTCTGCTCCAGTAAATCTCCAGTTTTATCAGCTGGGAGCAACTGGCTCATTTCGCCTAGATCAGTGGCAGTCCATCTTTTTACAGCCCCTTGTCAGGGACAGACTTCAGGTGCCTTGGCATGCCAGGTCTGATATGAGTCAAACCCAGTGTGAACAAGGATTAACCTATACGATTGTCTGAGACTCCCTTTAAGTGTATTCCAAGCAGAGACTGGAGAAAACTATAAACTCGATTAAACAAGGTAAACTTTTCTGCGTTCCTGGGCAGTGTGCATTTCATTTGCATTCTTTCAGCGGTGTGAATAAACATAACCATTGACCTGGGCAGCTCGAGCGCCCGCAGCCTGCTCGGTGCAGTGCGAGAAGGAATATTTGAATGTCGTCCTGGCAAAACTGGACAGCCTGTCAGAAACATGAAAATGGCTTTTGAAATCTGCATGTCTCTGTGACGGTATAAAATATTCATACCTCAGATTAAAATATTTTATTGAATTAATATTGATTTATGATTAATTTTTAAATAGATTCATATTTCATGAGGCACTCACAATGAACCTACCAATTGGGCCTTAGCAAGTGAAACCAATTACACAAATCGTTAAGGAGGCAACCAAGAAAGCAACTCTCAACGCCTGGGAAGAGACAAAAAGAGTAAGAAAATCCGCCTTTAGGATAAAATAAACAGAGAGGTATACAGTGACCAAAAAAAAAAAAAAACCTCCCCACCCTGCTTGCTTTGATATAGGTTTTCCTTTTTCATGTGTGCCAGTGTGGTATCCCCCTACCAATTTTTTAAGAAAAATATCTATGTTTGGCCTCATGTTTGAAAATCTCACTGCAGTGACTTTTTTTCAAAATTGTAATTAATTCTCTTCTTCCAAGAGAAAACTGTAATAATGATAGCTACCAAAAAGTGAAGCTTTCTTAAGAGTTCCTCTCTTCTGGTATTGGGCAAAAGCCTTTCAGAAAAATGCTGACAGCTGGAAGCAAAAGACATTGATTGCTCTGCCCAATTAGCATCTTCAGACACAAGGCAGTAGCAGGTAAGACGAGGGCTCCCAAGTGCTTTCGAACATATTCTCTTTCAATCTGAGTCCAGAAAATTGACTTTTCACCCCTCCGTTCTCCTATTATGCTTTCCATAATCATACCTGTACATTTCATGTCTGAAAACTAGCCCATCATTTCATTGAATTCCTTTTTGGAAAGAAACTGTCTTCTAATTTATACAAGATATTTTTACAGCCTAAGCAACAGACTCACTTCATCTTTATTCATTCTTCTTTTCTTTTTATATCTCATTCATGTTTTCGTTTTCTTATTTAAACATGCTAAATTGGGCCACCTTTGCTCAGTTTATTACAGTCAGTCCTTTTTTGCATAAAATGCCAGTATGTAAAGTTATAGGACAAAATAAGGATATTCTTTACTTTGTGATGAAGAGTTTTAATGTGAGCAAGAAGGTTTCAAAAACCATGGGAAATCTGCAGGAGATGCTAGACTGGGTAGCACAGCCACATGGGGCTGAGATGATGCCCAGGGTCTCCTAATTAGATAAAGCCATTGTTTAGATTCAGACAATACCTGTTTACAGTTCAATAAACAACTTGTCACAGTTGCTTGCTCAAAGCAGACCTAGATGTCAATGCAAACAGTTAGTACAGAGGTAGTGAAATAAATTGGTCTCTTGAGTAAATAAATTGAGCAGCAATGTGAAACTGCCTCATCAGTACAGAAGAAGATAATCATTTATAAAGGTTTAAAATGGCGTTTCATAAGTATTGACATTTAGAGAAATGTCTTTCCCCATCTAAATGCCTACCCCCACCTTTTCCTATTTTCACCAGCCACTAAAAAGAAAAAGAAAACAAAAAGAGAGAATAAAGTATGTCTGGGGTCATTTCATCAAAGTTTCATAATGTGTCCTATATGAAATTTAACAGATGTCTTAAAAATACTTGTCCTTGAAGGTAAATTATGGATATGTATGGCACCTGCCTTCAAGGATTTGCCATTCTCTCATCATAGAATGGAACCAGACCAAAAGATAAGACAATGGAGAGGTCACATGGTCAAACATCTGGGTTTTGTTTTTGCTATCGTTTCTTGTTGATGAATGACTGAATGACAAAGGGAAAACCAAAAGAAAGAAAGAACAGAGTTGAGGGGTACACCTAGAAGCCCTAGTCAGGGAGATGAAGTGACTTCTTTTATGGGGACAAGGACCATATATAGTAGCACTCCCTTTCTCAAAGATCTTTGAAAGAAAGTGTCTGTACCAGAAAATGTGACTAAACAACTGAATGCAAGGTTTTTTTGAAATAAATTGCTCTGCATGCACATTGAGAAATCACAAAAACCCTGTCAGAAACGCCCATGCACATGTAAACATCAGAAAGCAGAGCAGCACATTCCACTTCTTTAGGTGTTGTAAGAAAAGAAGGCATTGACATTTGCTCACCACCGTCTAAAGCTCCAACTATAACAGACAGTGTATGCCAGCTCACTGTAGGGCCAGAAGGAATAATCCAGAGACATTCAATCAACGCTACCTGAGAGGGCAGGGAGAAGGTGGGGAAACTAAAGTTCTATTTGTTTAAAAGAGAGCAGAAGTCTTATTCCCACTACTTTCTTTCATTCTTTCCTCCTCTCTTTCTTTTTAACCTGACCTTTATGTACCACCCCACAGATTCTAAGTAAAAGATCTCTTACCCTAAAAGAAAAATCTTCCTTGGTGGCTCAGATGCTAAAGAATCTGCCTGCAATGCAGGAGACCTGGGTGTGACCCCTGCATCAGGAAGATGCCCTGGAGAAGGTAATGGCAACCAACTCCAGTATTCTTGCATGGAGAATTCCATGGGCAGCAGAGCGTGGAGGGCTACAGTCCATGGGATGCAAAGAGTTGAACATGACTGAGTGACTAACACTTTCACTTTACCCCCAAAATGGTAGAGGGGACATCTCCTATTAGATTAATTTTAACCATCATAGCACTTACTTTCTAAGAATTCACTTTACCTGCCCATGATTGAAAACATACTGAATTCTGCCTCAATGAATCTATTTCCCCTGAACACGAAATTTTAAAAAAAATCACACTTGAAATCTGTAGCAACAGAAGGCTTTTTTTTTTCTTTTTTTGAACCAAGAAAATAAACTAGAGTGCAGTCAAAACTATTATAAACCCCAATGATCCTTTCCTGAGATGAATATTTAACATCTGCCCTTGTAACTCACAATCACTGTATTCCTAGCTCTTTACAACCACACCTGCATTTTCAGTTGGAGTTCACAAACTGACTATGAGATTTCTTTCACTGGCATTTATGTTGTGGTCACAGACCTGAGAGCACATAATGCCAGGATTACTGCTGACCTGCCCTTCGTGGAAATCTGAGCTCAGTGGTGTTTTTATAAAATGTTAGCTTTCAACGCTATTTTAGACAAAATTGGCAGTGGATGTAGTTTTTCACCTCTATTCCCAGCTTCCATGTTCTGAGACAAAATCTCATTTACTCCATTCTTCTCTAGAGGGCCCAGTGCTCTTGGTCTCCTCCCCTTTCAAAGCCTCTTCTTGGGAAGGCTCAGCAGGGCAGAGAGAAAAGAGAAGGAACTGGGATAAGAAAACCCAGGTTCAAGTGCCATCTCTTCATGGCTGTGTAACACGTTCAAGCCACTTTACCTCTTCGGCTTGCATTCATCATGTAGAAAACAGGGATAATAAAGTCATTTGCTTCCCAGAGAGAACTCACAACTACAAAAAAATAACAATAATAATAACCTAGATTAAAGAGCTTTGAAACTTAAAGGGCTAATCGGGTGCTACTTCCATAAATGATTATTCATTCACTCAATTTAACTGAATGTCTACTGTTTGATGCTGGATACAGTGATGAAAATGATGATGTCTCTGTCTTTAGAGACAGACTAATAGAGTGTGTCATGGAAAAAACAGTGTTAATAGCATTTGATTAAAACTGTAATAGAGGTATTGATCGAGTGCTGTGGGGCCAAAGACATATTTTGGAGGCAAATCATGGTAATTTTGTTATTATTATAGTATATACAAGTAAGTTTATATACATTATATATATTATATGTAAAATAGGCAAATGTTAAGGCCCAGCTCTTAGCAAGGGAGAATAGACTTTAAAAGCGTTAAACCCAGTTCTAACACCTCCACTATAAGTCTTAACCAGCAATGAGGGGAAATGGAAAAGGATCACCTGGACCCAGTCAGCTCATATCCAGTGCCTCCAAGTCACATGGAAATCATCACTTCAGTTAAGGCAGGCTCTCCCTGCTTTTAAATGTGGAACTGAATGGTTAGAATCATCTTAAGTCATTTTACACCATTCTCCTTCAGTTACATTTTTGGGATCTTGATGCAAATATGTAAACTGGAAAAAAAAAACCACTTCAGATGATGAAACTATTTATGATTTAGGGGTCGGGGAGTCCTGCAGGGCAGGTATTTGTGCAGACTCTTCTTCAGTTCACTCTCCCATGCTGGTAATCCCCAAACTCATCTCAGCTACGAACCTCTTCACAGTGAGCCTACCAGTTCCTACTGGTGGATGCTATGGGTGGGTCTCTAGCCAGATCACACAGTCAACTCCAAAACCAGAATTGTCTCCAAGGCTAAGAAACTGCTCTCGTCCTGAATTTCTTACCTCTGAGAAGATACCACCATGTATTCTATTACTTAAACGAGAATTCCTTCCTCACTCTTCTCTTTATCTTATCTCCCTCTGCCTCCCAGCTCCACTAAGCCTTGTCAATTCCATGGCCTTACCATTTTTTATACCTATACCCTTTTCTCCTTCCTTCTTTGATTGCCAGAGTTCAGCCTGCATCACTTTTTATATCAATCAGAAATACCCCTAACTAACTCCCTGTCTCTAATCTCACTTCCTATAATTCATTCTCCAACTGCTCCCAAAATGACAGTGACCTTTAAAAGCCAAGAAAGATCATATAGTCCTCCTTCTTCAAATCCTTCAAAGGCTCCCCACAGTTTACAGAACACAAAGCAAAATTCTTAAAATGACATAGAAGACCCTAAATTATCTATGCTTGTCTTGACTTCAAAGTTTTTTATAACTCCTTGACTCATCCGTGTGCTTTCATAACACTTTGCCTCTGCTCTTACCGAATCCCTTTGCCTGCAGAGCCTGCCTCCCACACCCTACCCCCTGCCCTAACAAACACCTACTCATTTGCCAAGGCTCATTCTAGGCATTCCCTTCTCTAGGAATCTGTATTTATCTTACCAGAACTCTGAGGTAGAATTAACCACCTGTTCCTTTGTGCCCTCCCCTTGCACCTTGCCCACACATCTAACACATGTCTCCCTTCTCCTGGACAGAAAGTCCTCCAATGACAAGGTTCATACCAACTTACTTTGTTTACCCAGAACCTAGTACAGTATCCAGCACACATTTGGCACTCAATCAATGCTGGATGAAAAAATGAATGAAATATGCAACCCATTCCAGGAAAAGAAGTTTCATGGATCACATATGCCTGAAAAGTGGCTGGTAAATAGTAAACACTCAATAAAAATTCTTGAATAGATGATCAAGAAAATGAATGAATCATTTTTAACTTTGTCAGTAAACTGACAGTCAGGTCACTGTTTTCTACATATCATTCTCCATATATTTTTTCTGTAATGTAACAATGCCCACAGCAGGCTAAAGAAGTGTGCGTTGTACCTCTATCGAGTGCTGACACTGATTGGAGATGGCCTTGCAGGCTAATTGTGTCCTTACTGAAAGCTCCTTGAGGCCTTGCTTCTTCGTGTCAACCTTCTCAGCTATATTCCTAAGAACTCAACACTGAAAATTCCTTTGTTTCTCCACTCGACTGCTGAATAGCTAAACCAAGGCAGGGAAAATTCTACTAATCCAGGAGAAAACATAAACACATATTCTATTCCTAGTATGTTTATATCTCTGAGATTTACATAAAAAGTCAGGGTTAACTTTATAAGCATGCAGAATAGACACTTTCTAGAGGTGAGGTGAACTGTCAACTATTTCCTACTACTGGCATGCAAGAATGTTGAGATTTCTATTACAAAATGATAACCTTTGGCTTCTAAATCTTCAGGAGAATCCTCTTAAAATTCAGAAAGCCCTGGATAGAAGCAGGGTTGGTATTTTGCCTGTATGTACTATCAATAAGGCCAGGGTAGTTGTTTATGGGTGGCAAAAATTCTGATGACTCAGTGCTAGCCTATCACCAGCTGTTAAACATATAGGCTATTACTGCAGCCCAGAAGGAACCTCAGCCTGAGCCTCACTTTCCTAGATTCAGAAATGGAAGTGCTTTATAAATCATCCAGTACCATCTACATTACATTTAAGAGATTTATTTTATGCATATATTCATACATTCATTCATTCAACCAGTATTTGCTGAAGTTTGGCCTACTATGTGCCAAGCACTCCTCTAGAAACTCAGGACATAGGGATGAACAAAACAGACAACAACTCTCCTCCTCATACGGCTTACATTGTACTGGGGAGAGACAGATGATCAACAATACGTATATAAAATGTATTTTTCTCCTGGATGCTTGGGTTTGTCCAATGATGATTATTGTTCAGAATAAAAATAAAACAGAGAAGAGTGATAGAACATGCCAGGAGCTAAGTCAAGGGAGCTTCAATTTTAAATTCAATTATCAGGGAAGTCCTCACTGAGAAGATGGCATTTGAGAGAAGACTTGAAAGATGGGAAGGAACAGACAATGCAAATATGTGAGCAAGAAGGCTATTATAAGCAGAGGGGAAGGCTAATCCAAAAATCATGAGGGAGGAATCTATATGATTTGCTAAAAGAAAAACAATGAGAGAGGACAATATGGAGAAGACAAAGGGAAAAGAATTAAAAGATGAGGTTCAGAGGATTCGTGAGAAGCCTGATTATCAAAGATCCTTTGTAAATATTTTAAAGACTTAGGTTTTTGCTCTGAGTGATGGAAGAGGCAATTGGAGAGTTTTGGGCAGAAGAGTGGCATGTTCTGACTTCATTCTTAAAGGATCATGTTACAAAGAGATAGGAGTGGGCCAAGGATGGAAGCAGATAAATCACGTGGGAGCATATTCCTTTGATCAAGCTGAGAAATGACTAGGATAGCAGCAGCAGTAGACAGTGAGAAGTGAGCAGATTCTAACAGTAGATCCAATGGAATTTGCTAACAGATTTATAGAGAGGAATAAGAGAAAGAAAAGGACCAGAATAACTCTGGGGGTTTTGGCCTAAGCAACTAGAAGGAGGGTGTTTTCATCAACTGAAATGGAAAGACAGAGGAAACTAAAAGCTTGGGCAAGTTATATGAATCAGGAGCTTAGTTTGGGGCATATTACATGTGAAGTATAAATTAGACATCCAAAGAGTAGAGAAAATGGATACACAGAGAAGTTGTGAATTATATCATGTCATCCAATCACAAAGACACCATTAGAGCAGGACACAACACAGCACCTGGGGAAGCAAAGAAGGCGATCCCTAAAAGGAAAAGCAGGACAGAGATGAGGGTAAGTTCAGCCCTCTTCACTGTTTGGCCCGGAAGTGTGTAGTCAAACCAAATAAAAGCTCTTCAACCAGAAGAGGAATTAGAAAATCTTACCCAATCGTTAATTTTTCATGTTCCATTTAATGTTTATTGTTAATGTTCCATTAAATTCCTGATAGTATTTCCTGAATTTGTTTTAGCATTAAGCATCCCTTAAAGGGTGTAAAGAGAGCATTGGTGTGAGCTAAAATGGCAGAAATATATATGAGCTGCTCTACCTACTTGGGATGCAGACCCTCCCTGGAAACCAAATACCAGAGCAACTTAGAGCTCCTGCTGGCAGGTCCCAGAGCTTAGACTGGAACAAAACCTGTCTAAGAAATGCAAAGCAGCTAGAATTGGATGAGGGCTTTGAAGACAGGAGTAAGAAGAAACTGACCACAAGGGCTTCTTGTTCAAAGACTAAGGTTCCGGACTATTCCTGTGATGCCAAAGAGACTCTAAAAAGTGCGCAATTCATAACCTTCCTCAAAGCTGCAAACCTCGGACTTCCCTGGTGGTGCAGTGGCTAAGACTCCACACTCCCAGTGCAGGGAGCCTGAAGTTCAGTCCCTGGCTGGGGAACCAGATCCCATAGGCCGCAATGAAGAGTTCACATCCTGCAACTAAAGATTCTGAATGCCACAAAAATTGAAGATGCCACACACCACACTAAGGCCCACATGGCCAAATGAATACATTCTTAAATAATACACATTAAATAAACAAATAAAACCTTGATATTTAAAAAAAAAAAAAGCTGCAAACACTCAGGAAGTCACTTGGTCCAGCTCTGACCAGAGTAAGCCTTATAGAACAAATATAAACTGGAGAATAATTACCAGATTTTCCAAAACAACATGGTGGAGGAGAAGGAAGAGAGACTGAACCATTATCAATTGGGCTGATGGAGACTTCCAGGTATCCAACCTCTGTACACCCTCTGTTCCCACATATCTAATGGGTCACTGGGGGTCTGAAATACATGATGACCCCAAATGATTTCAACTTGCCAAACCTTGATCCCATTGAAATCCATCTATCACAAATCTGTTTATCTTAAGTAGTTTTCAAACACAGCATATCCAATTAATACCAGGCACTAGTCACGTACTGTGAAGAGGTAACAGGGATCTGGACCACATAAGATGACCTTCATAGTTCAGCATGAAGAATTAAGCAGCAAGATTTGAAAGGTGGTACCTGCAAGGAAAACATAAACCAAAATCAAGCTGTGCCAGTTAGTTACCTATTGTTTTTCTATGTCAAATAACCTATCCATACTCTGCTTCTTTGCACTATAGTTTCAATATTCTCTTCCCAGGTGGACCGCTGTTTCGCTTCTGTCAGTGAAAAGAGATTGGTGTGAAACTGAAAGACAGGAGGAGGGAAGAACAAATTCTTTTCTATTTATGGTTCCTATAAGTTTTCCTCCAGGAGCAGGAAATAGTGAACATACCAACAGAGGACAAGATGGTTGGATGCATCACTGACTCAATAGACATGAGTTTGAGCAAGCTCTCGGAGATGGTGAAGAATAGCGAAGCCTGGTGTGCTGTAGTCCATGGGGTTGCAAAGAGTTGGACATGACTGAGCAATTGAACAACAATACCAACAATGCTACACCACTCAGCAGCACAACCACAAGCCACTGTGCCCCTTCAGTGATGGAGTAGCAGAGACACCATGCACTTCTCAGAGGACACCAGCCTCACTGCATCTCTTCCTCAGAAAGCTGAAGATTAGCCAAGTGGCAGCCTCCTTAGAGATTTCACACAACCACCACAGAACATCCATCACTCAAAGTCAGTGTGCTGGCCACAAATACCAGTGCTCTTTTGTTCCTCCAAAGGTAGCAGCAGCTTTCTACAGCACTAACATGGGGCTTACTTTGGTATTCCCTTCCTGCTCTTTCAATCTTCTAATATCAGTGTGTGATGGTATAAAATATGTCACAAATTCTTGAACACTGCTCTCTTCAAAAGGTGGGCCCTAATTCATCTCCCCTTGACTGTTGGATGGACTTTGTTAGTTGTTTCAGATGAGCAGAATATGACAGAAATGATGGTATGTGGCTAGGTCATGAAAGGTATCATGGTTTCCTCCTGTTCTTTCTGTTAGATCACTCTCTCTGAGGGAAGCCACTGCCATGTCACAAGGACACTCAAACAGCCTTGTGGGGAGGTCCATGCAATGAGGACCTGAGGCCTTTTGCCCACTGTCAGTGAGAAGCTGAGGCCTCTTGCCAATAGCTATAAAAGTATGCCATCTTGGAAGCAGAGCCTCCATCCCCAGTTGAGCCTTCAAGTAACCAACATCCCACCCAACAATTGGACTAAAAATTCATGATAGACCTCAGCTGCTCCTGGATTTCTGAAGCTCAGAAACTGTGTGAGATAATAAGTGCCCATTGCTTTAAGCCATTAAATTTTGAGGTAATTGGTTATGCCACATCAAATAACTAGGACACCAAGTAACCAATTCCTTACATTAAATCCCTCCTCATGAAATATCTATCATAGTTTATTTCTGAACCTTGACTGATATGGTACTTGGTAACATAAGTGGACTCCAGAAACTGACCCTCAAAGATAGAATTCTGTAATTGGATTATGTACCTCTTTAACTTTGAACACAAGTGGTAATCCTCTTGTCAATGGCAAATGGGAGATTGATAATCTGCATCAGGCAACAGTATCAAAATGACTTAAATTACTACCTATGGCCATTTAGGATGAACTTTCTATTGAAGGCAAGACTTTGAGTGACGAAACTGCTCAGGAACTTGACAGTTGCAGTAATAATCGTAACTTCAAGAGCTAGGACTGAGCTTTCTTTGACATCAAGACATAAGAGACCAGAAACTGTCTTTGGTGGCTGTAAAAGAACCTCTTATTTCTTGGAGTCATAAGGCAGATGTGTGTGCTCAGCAGGTCAGTCGTGTCTGACTCTTTGTGACACCATAGACTGTAGCCTGCCCGGCCACTCTGTCCATGGAATTTCCAGGCAAAAATACTGGAGTGGGTTGCCACTTCCTCCTCCAGGAGATCTTCATGACTCAGGGATTGAACCTGCGTCTCCTGCGTCTCCTTCATCTCCTGTATTGGCAGGCAGATTCTTTACCAGTGAGCCACCTGGGAAGCCCATAAAGCAGATACAACTAAACAAAATATAATTTTGTGAGTTGCAGAATTACAATATGAAATTAATTTAGAAACAAAAATTTTATATGAAATTTTAGAAATTCTTTGGAAGAAACTGATGCCTGACATCTGGAAGGAAGATTTTTAGTCTAATATCCCTGAGCCTCTCTTGCCAACAAAAGCCATTTCCCACATTTTGAAGAGGGTAGACTTATCTTACTTAAAGACCCTGTGATAACCTTCTCCATGGCTGATATCTTCCAAAATGATGTCTATTCTCCTTATCACCTCTCATTGCCTCATGACTAGTCAGCTCTCAACACACTCTAGGAAGGCAAGTGCCAAGTCATATTTGGGAGAAGAGAGTTCACATTCCAAATGAACAGCAAGATTTTGCAAATACACACTGGCAGAAACTTGGAGAACCAATATAGTAGTAGATTCTAAGGTTGTTAACCATAAGAATGAAATATAATTTTGGATTTAATCAAATATATTATGATGGTTTAAATGAAAGTGAAAGTGAAATAATGGTTTAACTTTGAGAATTAAGTAAACGTGAGAAGTTTCAACAGTTTGCTTGAATGATTACTGAAATATGAACTCCAAAGTCACCTAATTCAATTAGGATGAAATGCCAAAACCTATCTGACATAAAACAGAAGAAAAAACTGAAAGATTTAGAAAGATCGGAACACTAGAGAGAACTGAATATCCACCATACCATGTTCCCTGAGAGAGTTCAGGGTATACTCCCTTCACTAATGCACTGTGAAAGGCATTAATGAGGGGCCATCATCCTCCTGGAGAGGTTCTGGGGTGAGTAACTGTCTTTTTCAAGCTAGGGATAATGGTGAGAACTGATATCACTGAAAAGACTTCCTATTTGTAAAGTGGGATTCTGGAACGTTCAAAGCCAGATAGTATCACTTAACTACTAAAGACAAGGTAGGCATAATTACCATAAAAAGCATTCTGTTTGACATGTAGATATCTTCAGTAGTAGTGACTTGATCATGATGTTTTGATAAAACAGATAGGCAATTGCTTCTTGGTCTTTTGGCTAAGATCAAGAATAAAACAGATAGCCCACAAAATCATTACATATGTAATAAAATTATAATCAGAACAATTCTATGTATCAAGCAAGTAGGACTCTGACTTGGGTCACCACAATGTTGAAGCACATCTTCTTACTCAGTGAAAGTTCACAGGCTCAGAGTCCTTGGACCCTAGGCAGAAGATTCACTCAACAGCACCATAATTATTTCCTGGAATATTCTTCTAAGCCTTCCACAAGGATTCTTATATAGGGTGATCACACTCTGGGCCTCTTGGCCTCTCTCAAAATTACTAGTTTCTAACTCTGCTTGTGCTAACTCATAATGTCACATGGATTGCTAGTCAATATGGGGGTTATGGAGGTCAACTGATAAAAATGAATTTTCGGACATATAGTTGGAAAAATCACTCTTGTGAGTCAAACTCACAAAATCACCATTTGAGCTCTCTTGCCTGCAAAGGTAGAGCTGCTGTGGTGTAATGGTGAGGCGTGTGTCCTTGCTCGGGCACTCAGTCATGTCCAACTCTTTGCAACCCCATGGGCTATAGCCTGCCAAGCTCCTCTGACCATAGGATTCTCTAGGTGACAATACTGGAGTGGGTTGCCATTTCCTCCTCCAGAGCATCTCCCCAAACCAGAGATCAAACCTGTGGTTCCTAAGTCTGCTGCATTGGCAGGTGGGTCCTTTAGCACTGCACCACCTGGGAGACCTCATAATGGTGAGGTAGCAGCCTCTGAAATTTCCTCTGTCAACCAGGGTAATAAGCCCCAACTGACCCCTGATGGAATTACAGGGATAACTGCCTTCATCAGAAATTTAAGGTGAAAAGATAATTCTTCTTGTAATATTCCAATGTAATTCTCTTTTTACCCTTTGTAAGAGACAGATGGATCATGGGTTATTATAAAATTATTGATGATTCTAATTTCATAACTACTCCTCATATAGAAACTTTAAAGGGGAAAATCAATGCAACTTCGGGATCCTGGTATATAACTATTAACACAGCAAATGCCTTTTTATCTACACCAAATTGCAAGTCCTACCATAGCCAACCTTTTCTCACCTAGCAGGGACAGTCACGCACTTCAGCTTCTTGTCCTGTTCATCCATTGTCTGATATAGCCTAGCACACAAAGAACTGGATTATCCTGACATTTCAGAGAACAGCCTACCAACTACAACTAAGTTTATTAGGCCTTATGAACAGGAACTGATGGGAGCTTTAAATACATTAAGTAATGTGTTTTCCAGAGAGTGGGAAATAAAACCCACACATTTTCAGAAACCTGAAATTTCAGTGAGTCTTTTAGATATCCAGTCTGTCTGTTGATACCATTTGGTAGTAGCCAATCCATCAAGCAGAAGGTCTGAAACAGAAGATCCCAGGTGATTTCAACTATTCAAGGCTTCACCTCTTTACAATCTATGTATCATAAATCTGTAGATGTGGGGTATCCTCAATATACAGTAACCAGTTTCTTCCATATCTCAAACACTTGCTGTCATATAGCTCAACAGCCTTAATCAAGCATGGTTTGCCCTTGTGTTGCAACTATGGGATTAAGGAAGGTGAATTGGACAGTAGGTTGTGGGAGGGACATTGTAGCATCCATGGGAGTCAATAGTACAGACAGTGAGGTCCTGATGTTGTTGTTTAATCACTTGAAGGTGAAGGTGAAGTTGCTTAGTCGTGTCCACCTCTTTGTGACCCCATGGACTGTAGCCTGCCAGCTTCCTCCATCCGTAGGATTTTCCAGGCAAGAATACTGGAGTGGGTTGCCATTTCCTTCTCCAGGGGATCTTCCTGACCCAGGGATCAAACCCAGGTCTCCCGCATTGCAGGCAGACTCTTTACCATCTAAGCCACCAATTTAATCACTTAGTAGTGCCCAACTCTTTATGACTCCATGGACTGTAGCACGCCAGCTTTCTGTGTCCTTCACTATCTAGGTTTACCATAGCTTTTTCCTCAAGGAGCAAGTGTCTTTTAATTTCATGGCTGGCACCACCATCTGCAGTGATTTTGAACCCCAAGAAAATAAAGTCTCTCACTGTTCCCATTGTTTCCCCACATATTTGCCATGAGTTGATAGGACCAGATGCCATGATCTTAGTTTTTTGAATGTTGAGTTTTAAGCCAGCTTTTTCACTTTCCTCTTTCACTTTCATCAAGAAGCTCTTTTGTTCCTCTTTGCTTTCTGCCATTAGAGTGGTATTTGTTACTGATATTTCTCCCAGCAATCTTGTTTCCAGCTTGAGCTTCATCCAGCCTGGCATTTTGCATTAGGTACTCTGCATTTCAGTTAAATAAGCAGGGTGACAATATTCAGGCCTTGACATACTCCTTTCCCAATTTTGAACCAATTTGTCATTCCATGTCTGGTTCTAACTGTTGCTTCTTGACCTGCATACAGATTTCTCAGGAGTCAGGGAAGGTGGTCTGGCATTCCATCTCTTTAAGGATTTTCCACAGTTTGTTGTGATTCACACAGTCAAAGGCTTTAGCATAGTCAATGACGCAGAAGTAGATGCTTTTCTGGAATTCTTCTGCTTTTCCTATGATCCAGCAGATGTTGGCAATTTGATATCTGGTTCCTCTGCCTTTTCCAAATCCAGGTTGTACATCTAGAGGCCCTGATACAACCACTATTTCCTCCAGCTCTCTCACTACTATTTAATTCCCACACTTTTTCTTCCTAAACGTGGACTCAGTCTCAGAATCCTTCCAAACACAGTGTACCAAATAAGCTCCACAAATCCACCATGAGAAATAAAACCATCTGTCAAAATAGAGTGAATCCAGGTATACAGGCTTTGGATGAGAACCACAAAACTTGACTGAGCAGAGGGAGCAAAGTGAAGGGTGTGAACTGGAAGAAATGTTAACATATCAGGGTAAAACAGAAAAGAGCCACAGTATCTAGTGTTCACAGGAAGAGATCTATCACATATACCTATTAGCTCTGAAAGTGAATGAAAAAATTCCTTCTGAAGAAAGTTTATTGCTTAGTGAGACACCACTTCTGGGACAGAAAAACCATGTTCTGAAGTTACATGGGAACTATGCTTCAGTCTGCTCATGGCTGCAGGTGCAAAGTGGCTTTCTACCAACATCCGCTCGGCAACAGAGCACAGCCAAAAGTGCACGGGCATCTAAGGGCAAACACTGGCACTCTCTCTACCATTATGCAAAAATCAAGAATAGTATTAATATCTGTTTCACAGAGGCATAGTAAGTTTCTTTATTAGGAAATCATTTTGAACCACACTTTTCTCTGGATATATGCCTAGGAGTGGAATTGTGGGTTCATATGATAGGTCTATTTTTAGTTTTTTTAAGGAGCGTCCATACTGTTCTCCAATATGTTCTACCAATTGGCTGTACCAATGTTCAGTGCAGCACTGTTCACAGTGTATTATGGATACACTGTTCCATATCTAGCTTCCTAGATACAGAAGCAACCTAAATATCCATCAACAAAGAAATGGATAAAAAAAGATGTGATACATATGTACTATGGAATATGACTCAGCCATTAAAAAGAATGAAATGCCACCATTTGCAGCAATATGAATCACCCTAGAGATTGTTATACTGAGGGAAGTAAGTCATACAAAGGAGAAATATCATATGACATTCCTTACATGCAGACTCTAAAAAGAAGCTATACAAATGAACTTATTTACAAAAACAGAAAGAGACTCACAGACTTAGAAAACAACTTTATGGTTGCCATGGGGGAAGAATGGGAGACGGGATAGTTAGGGAGTTTGGAATCAACATGTACACACTGCTATATTTAAAATGTATAACCAACAAGTTTCTACTGTAAAGCACAGGGAACTCTGCTCAACGACATGTGGCAGCCTGGATGGGAGGGGTGTCTGGGAGAGAATGGATACATGAATCTGTATGGCTGAGTCTCTTTGCTGTCCACCTGAACCTATCACAACATTGTTAATTGGGTATATGCCAACATAAAATTTAAAAAATTTTAAAAAAATCTTCTTGCAAGCAAGTTAAGCAAAACCCTGAGGCAAAGTAATGAATAAATGGAGCAGCTTTATTAGGAAAGATGATTAGACTCTTCTGTTGAAGACCCCTGGAATTGAGAAAGTTGTAGTCCATCTTTTTTTTTTTTTTTTTGCTCATCATATTCCCAAAAGCAGAAAAATATTCTACTTTAGAGAATCTCAAAAAATGTCTTATGAATTAAATTGGAGTTGGAAAAGTAGCAATTCTAAAATTTTAATTTTTCTGTTTTGCTTTTTAAATTTGAAGATATTTCAATTTAGCCAAGATATTAGACCTTTTCATTTCTCCAAATCCTTTATTCAATCAAAGGCAAAGGCATACACTGACCAATTAATTCTATTCTAATTCATGTCAGAAAGAACACTTCTCTTAAAAGTGAAAAGTAAGCAACACAATGCTGATAAGGATATAAAACAAAAGATCTCTCATGTATTGCTGAAAGTGAAAGTGAAAAAGTGAAAGTGAAGTCACTCTGTCATGTCCGACTCTTTGACCCCTTGGACTATAACCTACCAGGCTCCTCCATCCATGGGATTCTCCAAGCAAGAATACTGGGGTGGGTTGCCATTTCCTTCTCCAGGGGATCTTCCTGACCGAGGGATCAAACCTGGGTCTCCCACATTGTGGGCAGATGCTTTACCTTCCGAGCCACTAGGGAAGCCCATATATTGCTATGGAAATATAAAATGCAGTCACTTTGAAAATATAAAAAGCAACCAATATAAAATATAATGTGGTTTCTTAGAAAACTAAACATATTCTTACCATGTGGTCTAGCAATCTCCCTTCTTGTTATTTACCCAAAGGAACTGAACGTTTATGTTCACACAAAAACTTGCACCCAGATGTTTATAGTAATTCTGTATATAACTGCCAAAACTTGGAAGCAACTAAGATGTCCGTCAGAAAGTAAATAGATTAAAAAAAAAAAAAAAAAAACCTGTGGTACATCCAAATAATGGAATAGTATTCAGCATTAAAAAGAAATGAGCTATTAAGCCAAAAAAAGACATGAAGGAACCTTAAAAGTGAAAGAAGTCAATCTGAAAAAGGTATACACTGATAGATTCCAACTATACAACATTCTAGAAAAGGCAAAAGTATGGAGACAATTTAAAAAACAAAAAACAGTGCTTGCAGAAAGGAGGGGAAGGGCTGAATAAATGAAGTGCAGAGAAATTTTAAGGCAGTGAAAATACTCTGTACAATATTGTAATGATCAGTATCAGTATCAGTTTAGTTGTTCAGTCGTGTCTGACTCCTTTTGACTCCATGGACTGCAGCATGCCAGGCTTCCCTGTCCATCACCAACTCACAGAGCTTGCTAAAACTCATGTCCATTGAGTCAGTGATGCCATCCAACAATCTCATCTTCTGCCGTCCCCTTCTCCTCCTGCCTTTAATCTTTCCCAGCATCAGGGTCTTTTCAAATGAGTCAGTTCTACGCATCAGGTGGCCAAAGTATTGGAGTTTCAGCTTCAGCATCAGTCCTTCCAATGAATATTCAGGAATTATTTCCTTTAGGATGAACTGGTTGGATCTCCTTGCAGTCCAAAGGAATCTCAAGAATCTTCTCCAACACCACAGTTCAAAAAAGCATCAATTCTTCAGCACTCAGCTTTCTTTATAGTCCAACTGTCACATCCATTCATGACTACTGGAAAACCATAGCTTTGACTAGATGAACATTTGTTGGCAAAGTGATGTCTCTGCTTTTTAATATGCTATCTAGTTGATCATAGCTTTTCCTCCAAGGGACAAGTGTCTTTTAATTTCATGGCTACGGTCACCATCTGCAGTGATTTTGGACCCCAAGAAAATAAAGTCTCTCAGTTTTCATTGTTTCTCCATCTTTTTGCCATGAACTGATAGGACCAGATGCCATGATCTTACTTTTCTGAATGCTGAGTTTTAAACCAACTTTTTCACTCTCCTTTTTCACTTCCATCAAGAGGCTCTTTAGTTCTCCTTTGCTTTGTGCCATAAGGGTATTATTGTCTGCATATCTGAGGTTATTGATAATTTCTTCCAGCAGTCTCAATTCTAGCTTGTGCTTCATCCAGCCCAGCATTTCACATGATGTACTCTGCATATAAGTTAAATATACTGTCTTGACGTACACCTTTCCTGATTTGGAACAGTCTGTTGTTCCATGTCCAGTTCTAACTGTTGCTTCCTAATCTACATACAGATTTTTCAGGAGGCATGTCAGGTGGTCTGGTATTCCCATTGCTTTAAGGATTTTCCACAGTTTGTTGTGATCCACACAGTCAAAGGTTTTGGCATAGTCAATAAAGCAGAAGTGGATGTTTTTCTGGAACTCTCTTGCTTTTTCAATGATCCAGCAGATGTTGGCAATTTAGTCTCTGGTTCCTCTGCCTTTTCCAAATCCAGTTTGTACATCTGGAAGTTCATTGTTCACATACTGTTCGTTTTGAAGGCAAACCATTCAATAGTAATCCAAATCTATGCCCCAACCAGTAATGCCAAAGAAGCTGAAGTTGAACAGTTCTATGAAGACCTACAAGATCTTCTAGAACTAACACCCAAAAAAAGATGTCCTTTTCATTATAGGGGACTGGAATGCAAACATGGGAAGTCAAGAGATACCTGCAGTAACAGGCAAATTTGGCCTTGAAGTACGGAATGAAGCAGGTCAAAGGCTAACAGAGTTTTGCCAAGGGAATGCACCGGTTATAGCAAACACCCTCTTCCAACAACACAAGAGAAGACTCTACACATGGACATCACCAGATGGTCAATATTGAAATCAGACTGATTATATTCTTTGCAGCCAAAGATGGAGAAGCTCTATACAGTCAGCAAAAACAAGACCAGGAGCTGATTGTGGCTCACATCATGAATTCCTTACTGCCAAATTCAGACTTAAGTTTTAGAAAGTAGGGCAAACCACTAGATCATTCAGGTATGACTTCAATCAAATCCCCTACAATTATACCATGGAAGTGACAATTAGATTCAAGGGATTAGATCTGATAGACAGAGTACCTGAAGAACTATGGACAAAGGTTTGTGACATTGTACAAGAGGCAGTGATCAAGACCACCCCCAAGAAAAAGAAATGCAAAAAGGCAAAAGCGTTGTCTGAGGAGGCCTTACAAATAGCTGAGAAAAGAAGAGACATGAAAGGCAAATGAGAAAAGGAAAGATATACCCATTTGAATGCAGAGTTCCAAAGAATAGCAAGGAAAGATAAGAAAGCCTTCCTCAGTGATCAATGCAAAGGAAGAGAGGAAAATAATAGAATGGGAAAGACTAGAGATCTCTTCAAGAAAATTAGAAATTGTAATGATGGATATTTGTAATTATACATATGTCCAAAACTCATAAAATATGCAATATTGTACAATGTACAACAACCAAGAGAGAACCTCGTGGTAAATATGGAATTTGAGTAATTATGATGTGTTAATGTATGCTCATCCTTGGTTTAAAAAAAAAGGTAATGTACCATTCTAATGAGTGATGTTGATATGTTGGCAACAGGGAAAGATGTGCATCTGTGGAGGTAGGGGATATGTGAGGAATCTATCTTCCTCTCAATTTTGTTGTAAACCTAAATCTGCTCTCCCCAAAATAAAGTTTTTAAAATAAATATATAAAAGTAAATAATCACTGTACTAAATTAATACAGTTTGCATTATTTTCACTAGATCTGGAACCACTAATGAACAGTAGCCAAACATTACTTGTTAGACAACACATATTCCAACATTCATATAATCAGAAGAAGATCAACAGGTTCCTTAACTCAGTCCCTCTTCCAGTTTACTGGCATCATTCTATTCCTCTCCACACTAAACACATTCCTACCTGAGATTTTTACATTTACTGTTTCCTCAACTTCAACCATTCTTTCCTCAGGTAACCATGTGGCTTGCTGTCTTATCCCTTTAAATCTTCACTCCAACTCACTTTCTCATAGAAGCCTTTCCTGGTCATCCTATTTAAAAGTTCAACCACCTTCCTTGATTTATGTGTTTTGCCACAGTATATTGCTATCTGACATATCATGTTCTTTGCCTTTTTATTCCATTACATATCTATCCGCTGGATCGTCAACTCCATGAAGACTACAATATTTTTTTCACTATGGTATCTTCAGCCTTTAGAATGGTATCTGGCACATAGATCAATAAATATCTGTTGAATGAATAAATGGACATGCAGATGTGTTTAAAAAATGACATGAAAACTGGCAGGGAAAAGTGGTACATAGCCTTCAAATCTTCTCTTTTTTCCTAGACTCACGCAACCTTTTACCTGAGTGAAAAACACTCTGTTTTATAATTTTATTCTAAAAACACCAAGCTGTTTTGGGAAAAGACAGACAGCATTGATAAATTATGAGTGCCTTAAGAAATTTCAAAAATTATATTCCCTGCATTGTTCATAATACATTATACTTTGACATTTATAAAAATTAAAAACAAATAGAAATTAATCTCATCTTTAAAATATGAAACTTATAAATGTTATTGGATATTTACATCACACATTTGAATGTTAGTATAATATTTAGCTTCAAAATCCTTTATTACTTCACAATTTAGAGCTTTTATATTAATAGATATTTACTTTTAATAGTCATTAATATTCAACCAATAATGCTTATCTAATAATATTCTTTCCCTTAACTATAAAACAATTTTTAATACTCAATTTTTAACCATTTTTCAAGGGCTTTTTGAAACTAGGCTACATAATCCAGGAAATAAAAGTAAGCTGTTGGAAGAGTAGGATTAGAGAAGTTGGAGGATATTTAATGTAAATATCAATGTAATGTAATGTAATGTAAATGATCAAAAGTATATAATTCCAATAAACATAGCTGCTGAAACAAAAGTTTTACCTTCATGCCCACTGGCTACATGCCTGTTGTGAGGCTTTAACGAACAAACGTCCTGAGAAGAGATGGAGATTAAATTTCCACAAAGAGGTCTGTTCGTGTGCACTATTTGGAATGGATTCTTGAAAAAGAGGACAGTAAGAGGACCATTTTTTAATTTCACACTTAGGGTTTTAGGAGAGAATGGAAAGAGTGGAGCAGCAAGCAATAACCACAAGGAATATATCCCAAGTAATCCAAGGTACAAACATTCCCTTCTGATAATGTGTTGATTTCAAGTCACAAATGAAATTTCCACTTTAGTAGGTTTCAAGGACATATTAAGTCAACTTCTGTGGCTCACGATAAAGCATAGAAAATTCAGATCAAGTTAGAAGACTATACTCATTGTTTGCTAATTACGCCACAATGAAGCAAATACAGTAATATTCTTTCCCTTTTAACTCACATAGTTATTCATTGTTTTAAAACAGATCATAGAATCTATATCTAAACAGAAGATATGGCAAATGTCTTTTATAGAATTTTGAGGATTCAATACTTACATCTTAATTAAACAGGTTTTTTTCTCCTTCAAATGTGAAGTACTTGCTTTACACATGATTACTTAAGATATAATATATTCTATTTATTAAATTGTTCTTGTCTGTCAACTCCTAAAAAAAAAATTGGCTCAAAAGGCCAGGGATGGAAGGGCAATATGGGTGAAAAAGATCAAAAGGTGCAAATTTTCAGATATAAAGTAAGTAAATCATTAGGGTGTAATATACAATATAATATGTATAGTTAACAATAGTGTATTGCGTATTTGAAAGATGCTAAGAGAGCAGATTTTAACAGTTTTCATCATAAGAAAAAAATTTTCTAACTATGGATGGTGATGACTGACTTACTGCAGTGATCATTTTGCCGTATATACAAATGTCAAATCATTATGTTGTATACTTGAAACTAGAATAAGGTTATATGGCAATTATACCTCAATTTAAAAAAATAGACTTTTTAAAGGTCAGGGATTTTTCTTTTTATTGTTGTTTTATTAATTTATATATCTTCAGCACCTATAGCAGTGCCTGGCATGGGGAAGGCACTCAAAAAATATTTATTAAATTAATAAATAAATGAATAATGCTCTTAAATAGCACCCTACATATGTATATACACCTAGAAAAACAGTTCCATAATCTTTATACATCTATATAAAACTGAACATTATTAGATGTTTCTTAAATGTTTAATTTACACTCTTCTTAGCACATATAAAAGGGGATCCTGGCTTTGAGGAGCTTAAAAGTCTGTTAAGATGAAAAGACTCTACCATGAAATAATTATAAAGTAATATAAAATGAACCATGAAACTGAATTGTCTACATCTTTACAGGAAGAATAAAGTGATCTTCATGGAAAGCTTCATGATAAAAATGATTTGAATCAGGCCTTGAAGGATAAGTATAACTGGGATGAAGAAAGAAAAGTAAAGGGCATATACAAGTTTCAAAATCATGATTCACGGTAAGATAACATAAGAATATAATTTTAAAGGATATCTAAGGATTCACACAATAGAAATTAAGGGACACTAAATTATGATACATTCTGACGGTCAGGTTGAGAATTCATGCATTCATTAGAAAATATTTATGTAGTATTTACCATGTGCTATCGCAGAGAGTCAGACACGACTTAAGCGACTTAGCACGCATGCATGCATTGGAGAAGGAAATGGCAACCCTCTCCCGTATGCTTGCCTGGAGAATCCCAGGGACGGAGGAGCCTGGTGGGCTGCCGTCTATGGGGTCGCACAGAGTCGGACACGACTGAAGCGACAGCAGCAGGAGCTGTGCTAGGTTCTGGGGGTCATAACAGAAACAAAATAAAGTTTCTGCCCTCATGAAGTTTACATTCTGATGGGATAGATATGAAACAAGTGAACAAATAAGACCATGTCGAGAACTACAAGTGTTTTAAAAAGACATAAATCATGTTAATCTTGGAAAAGCTTAATACCGAATAATCCAAGAAGGCCATTTGAGTTTAGTCCTTCATGAGCATGGGAAAGGAGAAATTAATAGACAAAACATTTCAATGACTTCCTGCATATGCATATGGAAAGGTTATGAAGAAGTGATCGCTGAGAAAAAGGAGCCAAAAAGGCGCGTCACAGAACACGGGCGGAGGGAGTTACAGGGAGAGAGCCGCTCTGCTCTGCAGAGGTCTCTGTCAGTCGTGTCCGACTCTGTGCGGCCCCACAGAGGGCAGCCCGCCAGGCTTCCGTCCCTGGGATTCTCCAGGCGAGAACACTGGAGTGGGTCGCCATTTCCTTCTCCAATGCATGAAAGGGAAAGGTGAAAGTGAAGTCGCTTCAGTCGTGTCCGACTCTGTGCGGCCCCACAGAGGGCAGCCCGCCAGGCTTCCGTCCCTGGGATTCTCCAGGCAAGAACACTGGAGTGGGTCGCCATTTCCTTCTCCAGTGCATGAAAGGGAAAGGTGAAAGTGAAGTCGCTCAGTCCTGTCCGACTCTTTGCGACCCCGTGGACTGCATCCCTAGAGTGGCCTAATATACAGACATGGCAAATATGAGGAAGGTCAAATATAAAGCATGGATAAAAAACATGGAGATTGAGTGAAACCCGAGACAGTATAATCAGTTTTTAAAAGCCCAGGTAAAACTAATGGTTAAGTTTTTTCTAAACCTGTTGAAAACCATAAATTCACAGATCCAAGAACCTCAACAAAGGCAATGCCGAAGAAACATGCAGAAAACCACACTAGGACACACCAGGAGCAAGTTGCTGAAAACCAGGATTGTAGAGAAAGTCATAAGAACAGCCAGAGGAAAAGAATTGTATAATGATAGAAAGATATGAATGACAGCTCACATCTCACCAGGAATTTTACAAGCTAGAAGACAGTGGAGAGTTCTTTCATGTTACTGAAAAGAGAAAAAACAAAACAAAAACAAAAATCCCTGTCAATCTAAATTTTTTCCTCAGTCAATTATTTCCCAAAAATAATAGCAAAATAAATACTCTTTCAGACACATATAAGCAAGTAAACTTAACATTGAAGATGAAATGGATAAAAGAACTAATTTACCAAGGTTTCCCCAAGAAGAACTAGATTATCTGAATAGTAAAATAGATATAGCCAAAGGGAATTTGCCATATGACTTGGGGAACTCAAACAGGGACTCAGGATCTAGAAGGGGAGATGGGGAGGGAGATAGAAGACAGGTTCGGGTGGGAGGGGACGTGGGCGTACCTATGGCTGATTCTTGTTGATGTACGACAGGGAACCACACAATTCTGTAAAGCAAATGTCCTTAATTTAAAAAGTAAAGTAGAAAAAATAAAGAAATAGATTATCTGAATAGCTTTATATGCATATTAAAGTGTTATACTTAAAACCCTTCCCACAAAGACAAAACAGGGCCTAGATGTCTCCCCTGTTGAATTCTATCAATTATTTGTGGAAGAAATAATTATTCTATACAAACTCTTCTAGAAAAATAGGAAAGAATACAACTCATTTTATGAGGCCACTAATACCAAAACCAGAAAATGATATTTTAAGAGGACTGCCAAAAAATGTATCTCATGAACATAGGGATAAAAATCCTAAACATAATTTTAACAAATTAAATTTAGCAGTATATGAAAAGATAATACACTGTAACCAAGAGAGTTTCATCCCAAGAATGCAAGACTTTTAATATTTAAAAATTCAATTGAAGTAATTTACTATATTAACCAACCAAAAAGGAAATAGCAATGCAACTGTCTCAATAAGTGTAATAAAAGTGTTTGACAAAATCCTACACATATTTATGATAAAAATTCTCAGCATTCTCTACAAAGAGATGGGAACTTCTGCCACCTAATAAAAAGCATACATTAAAAAAAAATACAGGTAGCATTGTGCTTAGTAGCAAAAGACTAAATTACTTCCTCTCATAATCAGGAACAAGAAAATTATGTCCATTCTCAGTGATGACGGTGTTAGAAATATCATTTTATTTATGCTGTACTGAAGGCCCTAGATTATGTATTAAGGCAACAAAAAGTGAAAAAATTTTGAAAAAAAAATAAACTGATTTTTGCACAAATGATATGATAATCCCTATAGAAACTCCTAAGCAAATAGAATGAAAGGGGTGACCTTACTAAGTTCTTAGCATACAAAAATAGTATACAATTAATTACATTTACATATTCTAGCATAAAATCATTAGAAATTTAAATTTTAGAAAACACTGCCATGTATAGTAGCTTTAAAGTTATGGTGTACTTGGGGATAAATTTAAAAACATACATGTAAGAGATATACACTGATAAATATAAAACTTTGCTGAAATTAAAGTGACCTATGTAAATGGAGAGTGATACCACGTTTATGGATGTCATTAAGATGTCAGTTCTCCACAAATTGATCTATAGAGTCAAAACAATATCAATCAAAATTTCAATTGGCTTTTTTATGGAAATTGACAAGTTTTCTCTAAATCTTAGATGGAAAATCTAAAGATAAAGATTCGCCAAACCAATTTTTAAAAGAACAAGTTGCAGAATCACACTACCTGATTTCAATATTTAATTTCAAACTACTATAATCAAAACAGTATTGTAGCAGTAGAAATAGATATACAGATCAAATAAACCAATTAGAATGACCAGAAATAGACCTACACATATATGGTCAACTGATTTTTGACAAATGTGATAAAGTAACTCAGTAAGAAAAGGATTATCTTCTCAACAAATTAGGCTAAAACAATGAAATATCTGTGGGCAAGAAAAAAGATAATAAACCTTGACCTATATTTTACATCATACAAAAAATATTTAACTAGAAATGGACTATAGATCTTAATGTAAAAGCTAAAACTATGAAGTTTCTAAATGACAAACTTTAAGAGAAGAATCTTTGTAACCATGAGTTAGGGGAAAAAATTCTTACAAAGAACTAAAAAAGCATACACCATAAGAAAGAATTTATATATTGGATTTCATAAAATGAAAACATTTGGTCTTCAAAAGACATTGTCAAGAAAGTAAAAAGTCAAGTGGTGCAGAAGAAAATATTTGTAAAACATATATCTGATAAAGAACTTTTGACCAGAATATGTGAATAGCTCACAACTCAATAACAACAACAAACACAACCTCTCTCTCAAAAAAAAAAAAAAGATTTGAAAGGAGATTTCCACAAGGAAGACATGAATGGCAAATAAACCCATTAATAAATAGTATAATTAGTCACCAGGAAAATGTAAGGTAAAATAATAATGAGAAACCAATACACATCCCTTAAATGTGACAATATCAAGTGGTGTTGGCAAGATTAAGGATCCCCTGGGAATTCTCATATATTGATGGTGAAAATGTAAAGTAATTACAATTCTTATTTTGAAACAGTGGTTTGGCAATTTCTTATAAAGTTAAACAACTATCCAAATTTCCAGAAATTATTACTCCTAGGTTTTTACCCCCAAAACTGAAAACATACATTCACACAAAGACCCAAAAGTGAATGTTGCTAACAGCTGCATTTTTAAGAGCTCAAAACTGGGAATACCACTAATGTCTACCACCTAATGAACAGATAAACAAATTATTATGCATCCATTCAACTAACACTGCTCTTAAATAAATAAAAAAATAACTAACAATATTTTCAATAAAATTGAGAAATCTCAAAAGTATCATGCTAAGTCCAACACATCAGACACAGAAAACTGTGTACTGTTTCATTTCATTTACATAAAATTCCAGAAAAAAAAAAAAACTATTATGAGAAAAAGCTGAACACGGATTGCTTGGGGAGATTGGGCAGCAATGACTACGAAGTGTAATGAGGAGGCTTTTAAAAGGATAGAAACGTGACTAATAGAGTGACTGCACTGATGGTTACACAACTGTATACATTCATCAGCTTACACTGTATATTTGTCTGGTGAATTTTATCTTACGGAGATTATACCTCAAAAATACAAAAAAAAAAAAAACCCATAATTTGTATGTCTTCTGTACAACACTTTAGACCCCTTGATTACCAGGATTATGACTCACTAATGCCTGTCACAGTCCCTGAAACATAATAGAAATTTAATAAGTGAAAAAATAATGAAGAAATGAGCAATTGGTACAGAACTCAGTAGCCTGTAAGAAACCATAAAGGAATGCTTTACAGACCTTCTGTTTGCCTTAAATCCTGAAAATACATCTATACTAGAGTTATTGAGTTTTTTGAAGACATCTGGGACTTCTTAGTACCAATCCTGTTTTCCTGACTTTAGAAGACACTGTGCTCCCTGGTCATCGTGCTTCTTTCTCAGCTTTGGCTTCTGTCCGGTAAAAATTCCTGGCAAGATTTTACACAACCTTAGAGTATACTCCAATCCTTACTATTGCTCTAAACTCCTAAAATTTTATTTATTGATCAGTTTTCCAAGTGACACTCTCCAAGAACTTGTTTCATTGTGTTTCTTTGGCAATTTCAGATAGTTGTTTAGA